AATTAGGCTGAGGAAATGATTCTTAGTCTCTGGCACCTGCGTTGTAGATAACCAACTAGATATGCTGAACTGAGCCCTCTGTCTCAATAATCTTCGGTGATCTTTGGAAATACATTTTACTAGCTACTACCTTCTGTCAGATTGTCCCTAAAGGTTATGATAACCAGCTCTGTAATTATCTGTAGCTACTCTCTTAGTAAAGGAATGGTGATCTTCAGCTCTTCTAACACAGCCAAATATAAGCAGACTAAGTATAACTAAAGCATGGGGTGAACTAGCTTCTATCTTTCAGAAATCTAGCCCATATTCTTCCCCAGAACATTTGAAATGTGAATGCAATCATATCAGTAAATAGCTAAATTACCACTGCATCTCCCACAAAATACAAATTGCCCTTTTTTGCCCTATGTTGGAAAGCACACACATAAAAAAGTGCACATTAGTATAAGCATAATGGACAGGGTTGCTCTGAAGACTAAATGTATATTTAAAGCAATTTATAGACTCTGGATCACCATGTACATATAAAGATGTTTCTCATAATTAACATGCAGTAATTGTATGTATGTGTAATAAAGATAGCAGAATAGTTCCACAGATGGGGGGAAAGTGTAAAAAAATAAGACTGTAGGTTATGGGTCCACCCCTATGACCTAGTCACCTCTGACCAGGCCCAACCTCCAACTTTGGGGATTACAATTTAATATGAGATTCGGCCAGGACATATATTCAAACTATATCAATATCATCACCAGATGAATAGCTAAACAAATTGTTATATCCATACAATGGAATACTGCTTGGTAATAAAAAAAATGAACAAATTGCTGATACCCAATAACAGGGATGAATCTCAGAAATATTCAGGAGGAAATAAGACAGACACAAAATAGTACATAATGTATAATTTCATTTATGTGAGGTCCTGGAATGGGCAAAACGAATCTATCCTGAGAGAAGGCAAATCAGTGGTTGCCTTAGGTGGGGGACTGTCTGCACATGTGCACAAAGTAGCATTTTGGGATGATGGAAATGTTCTACATTTGATTTTCATAGTGACTACCCAGGTGTATACATTTGTCAAATTGAATCCTACTGTATTTTTACATAGGTACATTTTATTACGTGTAAATTGCACCTCATTAGTTTCCTTTACCAGCCCTGCCTTCTGTAACTTTTTTCCTTTTCTCCCTAAAATTGAGGTATTATCCATTCTTCTAAATTTACCATAGCATTTGTTTGGCCTTCTCTTACTCCTCCTTTCTCCTTTCATTTGTCACCTTGTACTCTACTAAGGCTATAAGCTCTTTTCATCATTCTTTACCCTCTAGCACCTTGCTCATTGTAGATGTTCCAACAGATGTTTGTTAAACAGAGTTGATTTCATATGAAGAAAGAATTATCAGCTACTGCTTTGATCACAGCTCTGAAATTTGAATAGAATCACAATCCTAGTTATCAACAAGAACAACCCTATAAAGCAGCTATAAGTTGTGGACAGGCATTCTTAGGACAGTCTTAATTTTACACTTTAGGGCAGTCCCATTTAACATTCTATGGCGTTGGGTGGTGGACACATGGAAGATGAGTGTTCTGGGCCCAATGGAAAGTCCTCTTTAAGGCGAATTACCTTGTGCTAGTTGCAAAGGTCTGGAAGATTTAATTTAGGTAAATTACACTACGTGACAATGTATATGATTCCAGTAATGAGAGAAAATTAGAATCAGAAATTTAGTACTAGAAGGTGCTACCGTGGATGCCATTTATTCTAACCCGTTGTCATACAGACCCAGAGATCTTAAGTATCCTGCCCAACACCACACAGCAAATTAGCGGCAGAGTTAACTCTAGAAGCCAGTTTTCTATCAAGTACCATACCCAGAATTTAACAAGTTGAAGAATTTGCTGTTTGTGGAAGTTCTGAGGAGTTGCCGTGTACAAAGCTTTCCTTGGGGTGAGATTTTGAGTTTAGACACAAACAGAATAGGTAAAGATCAAGGGCAGGAAGCTGCTGTCATTACTGGGTTCAAATCAAAACTGGAACCTTGGAGCCATGGCAGGGACAAGAATTGCCTTATGTGTTCCTGGTGATGTCTTTGCTTCATATACCACTTGAGAAATACTGCTTTTATCTATTGTTGAAACTTAATTTGTATACTTGTTGATGAATTTTCCATAGTAAGAATATGAATATGATATAACTTTTTGAGGAGTTGTTAGTACAGTTAACCCTTGAACAACATGGGTTTGAACTGCATAGGTCTGTCTATAAGCAACTTTTTCTCAACCAAAAATGGATTGAAAATACAGTTTTCATAGGCTGTGAAACCCACATATACAGAGGGTCAACTTTTTATATGTGCAGGTTCCACAGGGCTGACGGGAACTTGAGTGTGCAAGGATTTGGTTCTACCAGGGTAGTCTTGGAACCAATCCCTCATATATTCTGAGGGACAACGGTATATAAGAATATTATTGACAATAGCAAAGACTTGGAATCAACCCAAATGTCCATCAGTGACAGACTGGATTAAGAAAATGTGGCACATATACACCATGGAATACTATGCAGCCATAAAAAACGAGGAGTTTGTGTCCTTTGTAGGGACATGGATGCAGCTGGAAACCATCATTCTCAGCAAACTATCGCAAGAACAGAAAACCAAACACTGCATGTTCTCACTCATAGGTGGGAACTGAACAATGAGATCACTTGGACTCGGGAAGGGGAACATCACACACCGGGGCCTATCACGGGGAGGGGGGAGGTGGGAGGGATTGCACTGGGAGTTGTACCTGATGTAAATGACGAGTTGATGGGTGCTGACGAGTTGATGGGTGCAGCACGCCAACATGGCACAAGTATACATATGTAACAAACCTGCACGTTATGCACATGTACCCTAGAACTTAAAGTATAATAATAATAATAAAAAAAGAATGTTATTGAATTCCACAGAAATGTTAAAGCAATCTGAAAGGAGTCAATCTTCCTCTCTCAAACCTTCCTTTTTCACTGTTTTCTGTTTACATGTAAATTTGGAGAGTGGTAACAGTTGCCATTTTGCATTTCATTGGTCTTATATTTCATTTTTTAAGAACAATTTTAAGTCAGTCTTATAGTTAACATAATTTCAAGTGGTCATTTTGAATTTTAATGATGAAAGACATTGAGATACAAAAAGCAGCTCTGAAAATTATAGCAAAGCATACTCCATACATGGATCCTTTGAATGAAAGAATAATAGCGTGGATGGTTGATGAAGGAATAGAAGCTGCTGCTATTTAATGTATTCTCCATTCTCAGTTCATGGATACAGCCTCCAAATTTTACAAACAAAATAATCATCAGCACAGCATCTCTGCATACCTATGGATTGGTCTTTTTCCAAAGCAGCCTCATGGTTTTCTTAGAAAAGTTTTTTATTTAAAAATATGTCTGTAGACACTTACTCCTGGTAGGCCTGGGAAAATGTAGATTACTTTATGTCTCTTTAAAAGCCTTTCAAAGAAACAAGTCAAGCTTGATTTGTGTTTTTCAGATAGAGGAAAGTAGTAAGGTAGGAGGACAGAGGAAATCTTAGCTTTAAAGGGAGAAAAAGATCTTTCAGTCCTTTTGTCAACACTTTAGCTTCTGCATTAGTCATAGGTCCCTTCCCCCTTGGCCATGGGTGGACCAAAGGAATAGCAGCCATTTGCACGTTTGTGAAAGGACAGTGGAAAGGAAAGAAAACAGCTGACACAAAAAAATGTGGGGGATTATTTCCCCCACAAGGTCAGTGGTTTCTGGATATTTGGCCTCCTTTTTTTTTTCCTTTATTTTGCTGTTTTTGATGTTATAAAATACAGTGCTAAGAACCTAACCCTATTAGTGAGATATTATTCAGAGTCTAATTTTTTTATTGTTATAATGAAAGTCACGTAGAATGCAAAGCTAGTGGACACAGTTAATACTCATATTTGATCGAAAAACTTTTCCTCTACTAAACTGAGTTCAAATTGGGGGCCTGCAAGTTAACTGATACTGGACAGGTTAACTGGGGAAAAGACAAAGTTTATTCACACTTTCTGGAGCACTCAATATCACTAACTCTAAAGAAGAGTTTAGAGGGTTATAGAAGTAAGGGGTTATGCCTCTTCCTGTGGCATACCACAGATGCCAGCACTTTGGGAGGCTGAAGGGGTTGGATCGCTTGAGCTCAGGAGTTCGAGACCAGCCTGGGTGACATGGTAAAACCCTGTCTCTACCGAAAAAATTACAAAAAATTAGCCTTGCATGGTGGCACATTCCTATAGTCCCAGCTACTCAGGAGGCTGAGGCGGCAGGATTGCTTAAGCCTGGGAGGCGGAGGTTGCAGTGAACCGAGATGGTACCACTGTACTCCAGTCTTGGTGACAGAGCAAGACCCTGTCTCCAAAAAAAAAAAAAAAAAAAAAAAAAAAAGAAGTAAGGGGCTATATACCAACTTAACAAAAGGGGGTAGTTTAGGGAGTCAAAGGACAGAAGGATCTCATTTACACAATTTTTTTGTTATGTCTCAGTGCCCAGTGTCAGTCATCTCCCTCCTGTGGGTCCTCCTGGAGGTATGGCAGAGTTGTAGCAACTCTCTGCTTTAGTCAGATAAAATAAGTTAAGATTTCATTCTGTATCTGCTGTTGGATTTGTGGGCCCTTCACTGATTTTTTTTTTTTTTTTTTTAGTATTTGTATATAGTCTGATGCTTTTCAATGTATTTTCACATACCTTATTTTATTCTCACGGGACTTTTTAGGCAGATAGGGCAAATACTGTTCTCCCATCTCACAGGTCAGAAAACTAAGACTCAGAGAGGTTAAGTATTTGTCCAGGGCCACATAACTAATAACAAAGCCAAAATAAGAATTTCAGGTATTCAATATTTCTCACTATACCTTGAATACTCATAAATTGTGTAATCTGTTGTCAATCTATAAGTCCTTTAAAGGTGCCATGGTTGAGTAATATTTTATTTGTTTTGTAGGAGAAGATGGTATAAACTGGTTCATCAGTGACAAAGACATTGAGGTAAAATCAAATTATTTTTAAAATTCAGAATAATAATTTCCTTTGCCTCATAGTTTATTATGATAACTTTTGGAACATTAATAAATTTAAGTGGCTTATAAGAACACATTTGATTTTAGCATATGAGTGATTTAACTCTTTAGAAACTTGGTTCAGCCTTGAGTTTTGTCAGTGAGTTAATAGCTGTAATCATCCAGTCCCCTTTCCCTTTCTGTTTCTTCTCTCCTGTGGTGAGTCCTCTCAGCCCATATGGCCTGGTACCACTAAAAAGATCAACACCGGAAATAACTGCTTCTTCAGTGTAAGGAAATGGTTAGTCTATTTTTAGGATGTGGCAGGTGTTTTTCTTTGTCAATTATTAGCCTTAATTGTGGCAGATGCTACAAAAAGAGAATAATTTTATAACTTGGTTTTGGGAGATAGCTAGATTGTATTGTGGTCCACTTGGCCAGTTCAGCAAAATAACAAATAAAAGATGAAAACTGTTTTAAAGGTGGAATTCTACCAAACAAGCTAAAGCATGGTTGGGATTTACAATTCCTCTTTAGATACTCCATATGAGATGCATTGTTGGTATTCTCTTACAAGATCCTAGATTTAGATTAGAGTATGGGACAGTTAGAATTGGGTCACTCTGTAGGCAGAATGGATCTTAAAAGGACTCCAGTGGAAAGAAATTATCTCATTCCTTTATAGAAATTATCACCCAGTCTTGTAGGCAGTAACCCTGTGCTGTTCAAAAGAAGGGATATAGTTGGTAGCTGTACTAACTTCACAAAAAACAAAGCCATAAAAACACTAACTCAAAATTTAAGCAGGCCTCTCATTCAGAAAAACATGGTGTACATTCAGTTATAGAAATCAGCAGTGGCTGGCCGGGCATGGTGGCTTACGCCTGTAATCCCAACACTTTGGGAGGCTGAGGTGGGTGGATCACCTGAGGTCAGGAGTTCAAAACCAGACTGGGCAACATGATGAAACTCCATCTCTACTGAAAATACAAAAATTAGCCAGGTGTGGTGGTGGGTGCCTGTAGTCCCAGCTACTCGGGAGGCTGAGGCAGGAGAATCGCTTGAACCCGGGGAGTTGGAGGTTGCAGTGAGTCAAGATTGCGCCACTTCAGTCCAGCCTGGTCAAAAGAATGAAACTGTCTCAAAAAAAAAAAAAGAAAAGAAGTCAGCAGTGGCTTTGACTGAATGCTGCTGCAATGTCTAAGTGATGCGTGTCAGTACCCCTGCTAGATCTGAAACGTAAGTAGAGAAAGGTTAAAAAAAAAAAAAAAATCACATGGAGAAGTATAAAAGACTCAGCAGGCGGGAGGGGCAGACAAAAAGCAGTAGAGTTACCTTTATGGCACCTCCTTTTATGTTTTTCTACCTCTTTTTTTTTTTTTTTTGGAGATGGAATTTCGCTCTTGTTGCCCAGGCTGGAGTGCAATGGCACAATCTCGGCTCACCACATCCTCTGCCTCCCAGGCACAAGTGATTCTCCTGCCTCAACCTCCCAAGTAGCTGGGATTACAGGCCTGTGCCACCACGCCCGGCTAGTTTTGTATTTTTAGTAGAGATGGGGTTTCTCTATGTTGGTCAGGCTGGTCTCAAACTCCCGACCTCAGGTGATCCGCCCGCCTTGGCCTCCCACTTGCTGGGATTACAGGCATGAGCCACCACGCCCGACCTCTGCCTCTTTTTAAGAGAACAAGAGAGATCATGACGTTCCCCTGTGGCTAGGTTCTAAGTTGAACAGATGTAACTAATAATTCTCTTTCTTTATCAAGGTAATGGAACTGACTTGAAGCTTGATGTATCTTTATTCATTTATAGTTGTCTTTAACAAGAGTAGTAGATGGCTTTTATTTAGCAGTGAAACAATTTTTTTAATTCTTGATTTTTTTTTTCCGCTTAGGCCCAGATAGCTAATAACCGAACACCTGGAAGATGGACCCAGCGATACTATTCAGCCAACAAAAACATTATCTGTAGAAATTGTGACAAACGTGGCCATTTATCAAAGAACTGCCCCTTACCACGAGTACGTGAAATATGCCTTGCTTCTTTCCACATATGTAAACTCAAAATCTCAAGGGTGAGGCCGGGCGCGGTGGCTCACGCCTGTAATCCCAGCACTTTGGGAGGCCAAAGCGGGTGGATCATGAGTTCAGGAGATCGAGACCATCCTGGCTAACATGGTGAAACCCCGTCTCTACTAAAAATATACAAAAAATTAGCCGGGCGTGATGGCGGGCGCCTGTAGTCCCAGCTACTTGGGAGACTGAGGCAGGAGAATGGCGTGAACCCGGGAGATGGACCTTGCGGTGAGCAGAGATCGCACCACTGCACTCCAGCCTGGGTGACAAAGCAAGACACTGTCTCAAAAAAAAAAATCTCAAGGGTGAAACCCTATAACCTTAGAATTCAAATCATTTTATAGTATGTGTGTTAAATTTCATGTCGCTTACAGCCTAGTGTAGGAGAAATGATAATAAATTTGGAGTCAGAAAAATGTGGAATCAATTTTAACTTCTCATTACTAGTTGGGCAAATCATTTAACCCTCTATGCTTCTCGTTTTCTTGTCTATAAAATGAAAAGATTGAATCAGATGATTCCTGAGACCCCTTTCACTTACAAACCTTCTACTTCATAAGACAGCTTATTTCACTGTGAGATAATTTTTATTGTTAGGAAATTATAATTTGGGGCATTTTTAAATGTTTATTAATGTAAGTTATGTTAGGGTACATCAACCTTTGGAACAACACAGAACTGAAGATCTTAGACGTTTCCTGACCAGATAATTAGCTCTTAACAAACATTTCTTCCATTCCTCCTACCTCTTCCAAATGACTGTTTTTCAGATAGTTCAGACAGCTCTCATGTTCCTTTTTTGTTTTGGCCTCTCCAGGCAAAACAGCTTCTGTATCTGTTTCTCCTATGACTTAGCTTCTAGATATGCTCCTCATTCTACTTTCCCTCTTACATACCTTTCATTTTGTCAATATTCCTATAAGAAGAGGCATAAGGAATAAATGCCAGCTGCTAGTATGTACAGACTAAGCCTTTTTGGCAAACAGTATACATACAGTGTTTTGGACATTTTGTTTGATTTAACAGTTGTGCTCAAGATTCTACCTCTATTAGGTCTCAAATTAGAAATAATTTTTTATGGGATTATATTGAAAAAGAAATACTAATCTTCTACCTTTTGAGACTGAAGAGATTTTAATGATTTTTTTGCCACATAGAAAGTTCGTCGCTGCTTCCTATGCTCCAGGAGCGGACACCTCCTATATTCCTGTCCAGCCCCGCTTTGTGAATACTGTCCTGTGCCTAAGATGTTGGACCACTCATGTCTTTTCAGACATTCCTGGGATAAACAATGTGACCGATGTCATATGCTCGGCCACTATACAGATGTGAGTATCCTGCATGTAACTAATTTGTCAGGCTTTGGAGGGAGTGTGCAAGTTTGTAATTAATGTGCAAGTTTATAACTATCAGTCAGCATACCTAAAAGAATGTTTACTCTGTGCTATATAGATTGATAGTCATGTCCCTTTTGTCACTGAATATGTATATAAAGCAGTGCTCTAAATATCAGTGTAAGGAGCCTACTGAATCAGGAGAGAGTATTAAGAGATAGCATTAACAAATATTTTAAGCCCATTCTAGCCCTTTTTCTTTATGTGCTTGCTAAATAAAGGCTGAATTTAAAGAGGTAATAAATAACATGTAAAATGTGTGTATTTATTCATATTTATTTATTAAGATGTAATCTCACTCTGTCACCCAGGCTGGAGTACAATGGTACAATCTCGGCTCATTGCAACCTCTGCCTCCCAGGTTCCAGCGATCCTCCTACCTCAGCCTCCCAAGTAGCTGGGACTACAGGCGCATGCCAACACTCCTGGCTTATTTTTGTATTTTTAGTAGAGACAGGGTTTTCACCATGTTGGCCAGGCTGGTCTTGAACTCTCGACCTCAGGTGATCCGCCCACCTCAGCCTCCCAAAGTGCTGGGATCACAGGCGTGAGCCACCGCATCCTGTTTATGCATATTTAAATGAAAATATATGCACAATTAGCAGTTATATAGAAATGTTTATAGGAAGCCTATTCGGATCTTTTTTTATTTTTATTTTACTTATTTATTTATTTATTGTTTTGTGATGGAGTCTCGCTCTTTTGCCCAGGCTGTGGAGTGCAGTGGCGCGATCTCGGCTCACCGCAACCTCCAACTCCTAGGTTCAAGCGATTCTCCTGCCTCAGCCTCCCGAGTAGCTGGGATTACAGGCACGGGCCACCATGCCTGGCTATTCTTGTATTTTTAGTAGAGACGGGGTTTCACCATGTTGGCCAGGATGGTCTCGATCTCCTGACCTCGTGATAGATCCACCTCAGCCTCCTAAAGTGCTGGGATTACAGGCGTGAGCCACTGCGCCCAGCTTTTTTTTTTTTTTTCTCCAGACAGAGTCTCACTCTGTCACCCTGGCTGGAGTGCAGTGGCATGATCTTGGCTCACTGCAACCTCTGCCTCCCAGGTTCAAGCGATTCTCCTGCTTCAGCCTCCCAAGTAGCTGGGATTACAGGCACCCGCCACCATGCCCGGCTAATTTTTGTATTTTTAGTAGACAGCAGGGTTTCACATGGTCAGGCTGGTCTCAAACTCCTGACCTCAGGTGATCCACCCACCTCAGCATCCCAAAGTGTTGAGATTACAGGCGTGAGCCATTGCACCTGGCCTGATTCCTCTTATTAATGATTTTGCTGCTCTAATAGTCTAAGGAAAGAAGGACAAGGCAGCCATTACTTTAAATTGCAGCATATTAAAAATGCTATTTTGGACACCATTTGCATTGTATTGTTGTAAATGTATATGAAGTTTAGTCACAATTTCAAAGACCAGAGGGCTATTGAAATAAGTAAATCAGCTTTGATGTGGAATATGTAGCTTTCTACATTCGGTTTACCCTAACTCCTAATGAGTGTCTCATTAAGAGTATTTCATTTTAGGTCTTAATTGCGTTTCTTACTACATAGTAACATATGTTTATTTTATATTAACAACTAATCAATACAAAGTCATTTTTCATCCTCATACCTAAGTGGCAATTCTAATTCATTTAAGGCGTATTTATGAAAGGAGTATATCTCATTCTCTTTTTTAAAGCATTACTTATCTATTTTTTAAAATAATAAAAGTACTTTAATATGTACTTCCCCAAAGTCATGATACGAAAACAGAAACATTTTTCTAATTTTATTTATATTGAAATATACCTGTAGTCTTTTTTTTACAGCCCTTTTTAATGCATGTCTGAAATACACCTATAATCTTTTGCTCAGTAAATTAGTATGGCTTTCTGTTGAAATGAATTTCAGATTAAAAGAGATTAGAGTGTGACTGTTTGGTATATATATGTATTTCTCATGTAAATAATGTAACAATTATTATTGTAATTCCACCAGCAAATTTATACTTAAATTGTTACCCATTTTTTAAACAAACAGTGGTGCATTTAATAATGTTTTGGCAAGTCATATTTTATCAATGGAATTGTGAAATTAAAATACATGTACATTTATATCTGGATAAGTATTGTCAAATTGCTCTTCTAAAAGATTGTATCAACGTATCTACCTACCAGCAGTGTTAAGAGAAATGAGCACTGCACTCATCAACCTTAAGTATTATCAGTCTTTAAAATTTTTGGCTAATCAGACCAAAAAATGATATTTTATTGTTTTAATTTGTATTTCTTTGGTTATTAATAAAGTGGTATATGGTTAATTAATTTGAATACTCTATTCTCAAGGCTATATATAGAGATAGAAGTTGTCATTTCATTCCAAAGTACTTTAATCTTATTTTTCAGTGTTTACCAAGTCTTAAAAATGATAAATCCTGAATTGTCCTAGCATTATGTTGTTGTCTGCATTAAGTTGTCAATTATAATTTTCTTAGCAAGATTTTCTAGTTTGGCAGTTATCTTTAATAGCATCTGTTTATTTTACTGTTTTCTTCCAAAGAGCTCTGACAAATACGGTCTTATTTGCCTGTGGTAAAGAAAGGAGTAAGACATTATCATAGACAATTTTTTAAAAATAAAAAACGGTACTACAGAACAGTTAAAAATTTCTTGTAAAAGGTTATATAATCATCTGTGAGTGTTAATTCTATAGGCCATTCCTCTTTACTTAATTTTGGCCCCTAATATATGTTAAATTATTATCTAAAATGAGAATTAATAATCACAGTGAATGTAAGTTTTTTTAAATAGGGTTAAAATCGTGGTATGCTCCTGTAATGTCAGCTACTCAGGAGGCTAAGGCAGGAGGATCTCTTGATCCCAGGAGTTTAAAACCTGGTGGCTCACACTTGTAATCTTAGCACTCTGGGAGGCCGAGCCAGGTGGATCACGAGATCAAGAGATCGAGACCATCCTGGCCAACATGGTGTGAAATCCTGTCTTTACTAAAAATACAAAAATTAGCTGGGCGTGGTGGTACACGCCTGTAGTCCCAGCTACTTGGGAGACTGAAGCAGGAGAATCACTTCTACCCGGGAGGCAGAGGTTGCAGTGAGCCGAGATCATACTACTGCACTCCAGCCTGGCAACAGAGTAAGACTCTGTCTAAAACAAACAAACAAACAAACAAAAAAACCAGTCTGGGCAACATAGTGAGAGCCCATCTCAAAAAATAAAATATAATAGGGTTAGGCTGTGACCAGCTTCAGATAAGGCAGTACTCGTTTCCCCAAATCTACCAGTATCGACTATTTTTGTTGTAATTACATGGTGAAGGTTCTGGATCCTGGTCTTTGTAGCCTACCCACCTGGTATAGGATTCCCACACAGCCCAGTCAAGCCTGGGCTCTACTGACTCCTTGTGGCAAGGCTCATAGTCCTTCCACCACCCCAGAAACTTCATGAGAATTCACATGGAAGCCGAGTCATTCTGGCCCCTTGTTGTTGGAACTGTACATGCTTTAGGTCTGTCTTGAAACCTGGGCCTCCACAGAAAATTTGTTTCCTATGCAACCCTATCAGATGCTTGCTGCTCATCTTCCATGATCCTGAATTAAGAGATGATATCAGCCTCTTTCTCACTTGCTATGGCTGCTTTTAAGTCATTACTCAACCCTTTTTATATAGATATCTTCGGCTTATTTAAGGCTTATACCCTCTGGCAATACCATCCTCTACCTTTCTTTGTCATTTTCATCTTCCCACCTACTGGACTTTCTGCTCATTCACGGAGGATTTCTGAAACCCTGAATAACTATAGATGTTCTAACTTTTTATAAATTGACAATATCGAGAAACTTCCAAGGCTGGGTGCAGTGGCTCACGCCTGTTACCCAGCACTTTGGGAGGCCAAGGTAGGCAGATCACTTGAGGCCACAAGTTTGAGGCCAGCCTGGCCAACATGGCAAAACCCTGTCCCTACTAAAAATACAAAAGTTAGCTGAGTGTGGTGGTGCACACTTGTAATTCCAGCTACTGGGAAGGCTGAGGCATGAGAATTGCTAGAACCCAGGACGCAGAAGTTTCAGTGAACTGAGATCGCACCACTGCACTCCAGCCTGGGCAACAGAGTGAGACAGTTTCCAAAAAAACAAAAGGAAAGAAACTTGCCCTTTTACTTTATATATTCCCATAGTCACACACCTAAACCTCTGTTTGGCCAGATTACCAGATACATGTATGCAAAGAGAATTTGTAGTGAAAACTGTCGAGTCATATTCAAATCCTTTCTGTAATGAAAAGTTCTCTCCTAAAATCTGTTGGAAATTCCTCATTGATTAACTACTTCTGTAAAAGTATTTGGTTGAAATCCCAGAGTTTTATGAGGTGAAGGATAAAAAAGATGGCTCAAGGCCTACCAAAGTCAACCTGCATCATTAGTCCCTTTCAGAAGACAAGAACCTGGAGTGTGGAAAGAATCCTGTTTCTGAATCTGCTATAGTTTCTCTCCTCACTTGCCAACAATTTTTAAATATACAGAGAATTGTTAAATGTCTGTATACATTTAGCTTGCACACAGAGCAATTCTGTGAGCTATCTCTGACATTTCCAAGATAACGACAGCCATACATAATTGTATGTTTACTGTGCTGGAGGAGTGCTTCATTCACCACTATGTCCTTAGCATATAGTAGGTATTCAGTAGATTTAATCCTCACAAGCAGGATATGAAGTGTAAGTACTATTTATTACTCCTATTTTACAAACTAAAAACTGAGACACTACAAGGTTAATAAGTTTTGCCCAAGGTCTAAAAGCTAAAATGATACTGTACTTTATGAATATATGTGGAGAAAGCTTGCATATTGGCAATCTAGGAATCATCAGTTTATCTCCTGCTCAGAGGATCTCTCAACTTTCTTTCTTAAATATGCAGATATTATAGCT